TTTTATAAAATTGGGGCACATTGCAAAAGAGTGCAAGTCCATTATCAGCAAACAACAACAAAAATCTCAACATAAAGCAGCTGGAGCCGTTTACAAAGACAGTGCTGGTAAGAAACAAGAAAAGAGTGACTGGAATTATGTATGCTGCTGCCAGAAGAAAGAGAATCAAGACTACTTGTCAGATTCAGTAAAAGGAAACGTGATTGATCAGTGCATGACTATTGGTCGTCTCAAATTAGCAAATGGATCAACAGTGCCAATAGCGATGGGAGCTTGTGACAAATATCAAGAGATGCCAACAAATCATAACATGCCAATATGTGAAGGCTATGTTGGAGACAAGAAAGTGAAGGTTCTATAAGACACTGGGTGCAGTAGTGCAACAGTGAGAACCAGTTTAATATCCAATAATCAGATGACAGGCAAGTCACGCTTGTGTGTGCCAATTAATGGGACAGTGAGAAAATTTCTCATAGCAAAAATAAAGGTGGATACTCCATATTATGTAGGAGACCTTGAGGCCATGTGTATCATGGAACCAATACACGACTTGGTGATAGGAAACATACCAGGTAGTAGAAACTATGAGGAACTAGACAGAAAGAAGATTGGTGAAGTATCTGCTGTTACCACCAGAACTCAAGAAAATAAGAGCAAACAAGACATCAAGCCCCTGCAAGTGTCAAAAGGTGATATCCCTAATTAAGGTTACCAGGAACTGAAGTAAACACAGAAAAAAGGCCCTTCACTGCAGGAACTTTGGGACAATGCCCAGAAGAGAGTCAAGCACAAAACAAAGGGGAAAGATGCTTATAGAATAGAGGACCAGAAGGGAGTTCTATACCGAATCTACCAATGCAGTTATATTGGGGAAGTTAAACAGATCATAGTACCAACATAATACCAGACTCAAGTGATGAAGTTGGCTCATGAATCAATTGTGGCAGGACACCTAGGAACAAAGAAATTGGCAGACAGAATCACCAGTAATTTCCATTGGCCGGGAGTAATTAGAGATGTGAGTAGATTCTGCGGGTCATGTGACATCTGCCAAAGGACAACACCTGGAGGGAATGTAGCCAACGTGCCATTGGGGAAGATGCCTCTCATAGAAGAGCCATTCAGCAGAGTAGCTGTGGACTTGATTGGGCCACTAGCACCTGTGTCTGACAAGGACATCTGGCTAACAGTAGTCGACTATGTTACGTGTTATCCAGAAGCAATGGCATTGCCAAAGATAGAGACAGAGAGAGTAGGAGAGCCCTCCTGAAGATATTTTGCAGAGGAAGCTTTCTGAGAGAACTCCTGAGTGATAGAGGGACTCAGTTTACTTCAGAAATGATGCAGGAAGTGTGAAGACTCAACAGTACTCGGCAACTCTTTACCACCCCATTCAATCCTAAATGTAATGGACTTTGCAAGAGAATCAGTGGAGTTTTAAAGAGTATGCTACAGAAGATGTACCAAGAGAGACCACATGACTGGAACAGGTACTTACAGGCAGTATTATTCACTTATCGAGAAGTCCCAAAAGCAAGTACAGGATTTTCACCCTTCGAGTTACTGTGTGGAAGAACAGTAAGAGGTCTGGTGCAAATACTGAAAGAGCTATGAACGGGAGAAGAAGAGTCAGAAGTAAGGAACACATACCAGTATGTATTAGAACTCAGAAACCGACTGGAGGAAACCTGTCAACTTGCTCGACAGAGTTTGTATGCAGCTCAAGGTAGTCAAAAGCATTGTTATGACAAGAAAGCCAAGGATCGACATTTTAAAGTTGGACAAAAGGTCTTAGTTCTGCTGCTTTGATAAAAGTGGCACAAGTGTTGATGGTGGGTGACATTGGTTACTTGTCTTTCTTCTAATCTATCAATTCTAAATTGAAAATGGCTAGTGCAAATAGTCTTTAAGTAGCTTTGCACAAAATTCAACAAAAAACAAAAAGACAAAACTTCTTCAAACTTCTGAAGGTTCCCATTAGCTTCGTGGATCTTGTCTGAAATCATACTCATATTTGTTCTTAATTATTCTTTAAATATTACGTCTCTTCCTTTTAATTCCTTTCTTAAATTCCCGTCTCTTACCTCTTGATATTATTTTAATTTTCTTAAAGTTCTTCTTGTTATTTGTTAAATTTTGCATCTCTTTCTTCAAATTTTCTGTCTTTTTCCTCTTGTTCTTTTAATTTTCTTTCTTGTTCTTCTTGGCCTTCTTTTATCTGTTGCAACATTTTAAGCAAGATATAATTCTCGCTTCGTGCCTGTGTTATTGTCATCTTAATTAATTAATTAACTCTTTCAACTCAATTACTTTAAAATAAAACTTGATTATGCATGTTTACAAGACTCAATTACTTTCAAACAAAAATTGATTGTGCATGTTTCGACTAACTTAAAACAAACAGTCGTTTTGTGTTCAGCTGAAATAGCTTTTAAACAATCTTATATTTTTAGGTTTACGTGTTAACGCTCTTAAAATTTAATAATGTACCTAAAAAAGTTTAAGAAAAGGATAAAGTACAAAAGTCGCGTTTTAAAAGATGTTGCATAACTTTGTACGCGTTTTTCTACTTTTTAAACAACACTGTAAGTTATATTGTTAGCCATTAAAAAAAAGCTTTTGACCAAACTTGTTTTGGACAAACAAATGTTGCATTATATGACCCCTGATGACACCAGTTTTTATTCACATGCACCATTTATGTATACATAATTTGTTTTATCAGTGGATTTGGAACTTACTCCCAAACTGTTGGCTCATAATACAAATAATTACGATGTTTTGCCATCACATTTTCTTAAAAATGATTGCATAAGTATCAATATTGGTTCTTGTTACGTTTTATTAATATAAATATAATTGATTAAAAATGGTTGAGATTGAATCTTTAAGTGTAACGTAAATCACACTTTATAATAGTTATCCTGAATTTCATATTCCTAGAAAATGTTGACCATCTATTGCTATTGAAAAGATCAATGCAATTAACAATTTCAGGTTAAAAGCTGCTATTTCTAATCATCAGTGGCTAAAAATGTTAACTATTTGTAATAAAAACAAAAAAAGTCCAAACTGACAGAAAAATGAAAGGTTGAATATGATTTGTCCCAAAGTTCAGATACTTGAAAAATGCTTTTCCTCTCTTAACAATTCCACAGTCTCTAAAAAACTTGATTCCTAACTTTTTCTTACTATTCATCCCATTTTTAAGGGTCAAATATAACCTTAAGCTGATTTAAGGTAATAAAAAGAAAAGTAACATTTTAAATTCAATATTGTAGCTGGAGATTCGACCAACAAACCTTTAGTGGCGCACAACCATTAGCAATGATATTACTTACAAGTCATTTAATAAAATAACAGAAAAAGGTTTTAAGATGGAGTTAGATATACCTAGCTTCTGATATAACGACTGACAAAGGTTATAATAATGTGTGTCATAATTTGCCCTGATAAAATAATATGCAACTTAACAAGTGTTTTTGGAATTTACGTTTTTCCACCTAGTGGCTATTTTTTGAAATAGGTGAAAGCTACTTAATATTTTGTCAACAAAAATGAAATATTGTTATCAATGTATCTTCAAATATTTATTACTGAAATAATTTCATATCCAGTTAAGAGTTTAATATTATTTTCATTGAAATTTAATGATACATTTATTTGTTACTTTTTGTCTTCTTCTCTTTTTTTTTTACCTCCTGTACGATGCGGCGCCATGATTCGCAGAGGCAACATAAACTCTTGATGAGTTGTGCATTGTAAATATACGGAGTAGAATAGAAGTTCTTATGTCGTTAATACTTCGTGTAAAGACAGCATGCTGCACATTTAAAAAGAAATGTGATCTGTTAGGATACTTTCATTAATGTTTTGGTATGTATAGTAACATTTTATGTGATGCATAGAATGTTTTTTGTTTTGTAAGCATACACGTTGATGTGTCTAAAGGCTAAAGCCAGTAAACTTAGGAAAGTAAATATCACGTTTGAGTGCAAGACGTTTGACAGACGCCAGCGGAGACGTGGTTAAGAGTTTGGGACAGGGTTCACTAACACATGTAGGCGGATTTGTTACGAGCTAACAAAACCCGTTGGCCGTCGAGTGAATTAACCAGCCGTCTGTGCGGATGTGGAACATATTATATTGTTGGTCCCCTTTTTTGTTTTATTGGCTGGATTGATATTTATATAAATATGGTTAGCATTAGAATAGTACTATTGGGTAGTTGTATCATTAGAACTATAGAAGTTATAAAACGTTAATAATAATATTGTTACCTCTGTTACCAAGAGCCAAGAAATTAAACAGGAACATGGTTAACATTGGCAACAATGCAGCATAATTTATATGTATCTTTCTTGATTGTTTTAAGCAATATATCTGTGAGCATGCAGTGTGTAGGTAACAAAATAACTGATTAATATTTTATTAAGTATTAACAGCCCATGAGCAAAGTGTGTGTACCCATCTGAGTACAAATTTTTATCTGATAAAAATCTGTTAGTATGTAATATACCCATGTTATATTCTAAAAATTGGGGTCATTCAGTAACTAATAAGCTTTTGTTTTCCTTTGTCACACCAGGGTTTGAAATTAATGCTAGCATACTACTGGTTAGTGATGGATTTGTTTTAGTAAATCTTAAAAAAAAAATTGATAGTATACACTTCAGAAGGAAGATTCACAAGTTCTTACTATTGAGTATCAATACACCTATGATAGATACATTTCGGTCTTTTTTTTTTTTTATTGTGCAAGATTTAGAGTAGGTTACTATAACTGTGATAGACAGGATTGTTTCAACTGCTGGTAACATGCTGGTTTTGCAATTCCCATTCGAACTTCAATGCATACCTAAGCTAAGTATCAGGAAATGGGGATAGTTGGGCCACAACTTCAACTCATTTCATTGGTTGCCTAGCCAGTTAGCACATGGGCCAGTCGGCTACACTTGCACCATCTGGCCCCTGCAGTACAGTTTTGCCAGTGAATGGTTAGAAATATCTGTTCAGTCGGTTGTTCATTTGAGATATTAACAATATAGCAATCACATAAATTGTAGATGGTTTTTTACACAATCTTCATAATTTCTTCATGGTTAGCACAAATGTTAGGCCTATTAGCTTCTGATGCTTTGCCATTATCCAGTATTTATAATAAAATATTGTTTTTGATGTAGGGTTACCATCAACACTGGGGTAATTTCGATTTTGTTGATTCAGGCACTCATGGCAGAGGTACACCAGTTTCTTCCCACATTGACCATCTTTTAACTTTCATGAAATAGTTAGAATAAAAACACTATTACGTTTAGTTCAAATAAGTTTAGATATTAAAACATGTTTAAAAAGAAAACTGTCACAGAAGATTTATACATATTTATTAATATTTAATGCATGAAATAATTAATTATGACATAGTTACAGTTACTTTTAGAGAAGAAAAATGCTATTGCTAGAAGCAGTCTGGAATTTGCTAATGGTTAAAAAAAATAGCAACTATCTGTTAGTGCCTTCAAAAGTTAAGATTGAGGTTTGCACATGGGTAATAATGAAGGTTTTTTTCAAATAAGTAGTGACATAGTGTTTTCAATAGTTATTCTAAACAAAAAAGTAAATTTTTCTCATTGTTTCAAGGTTAAGATTTCCCTCAATGCAGACTAATTCTTATATTCACAATACTTATATTTTTCTTTCGGTAACATTAGTTATAGTTCTGATTTGCCAAAGTTTACTAAAGAGCTTTTCTGTGATCATATTGTTCAATATACTGTTTACAGTAAAATTATTCAAATCTTGTAGTACATATATATACACAAACACTCACACACCCTTGTAGCAAGGGTTTGTTATGAGAGCTAGACTTGAATAATCAATACAATCAATTACCTATGAACATTGGATCCACTGATTAATGTCATTAATTCAAGTTGCTCAACTTAATTGATTAATGATATAACTTACAAAATTATTCAAGTAATTTAAATTAGTATTTCCTATTATTATTATTTTAGACTGTTTAAAGTATCCAATTCTCATTAAAATAATTGATTAATTGAATGCAATGGTTTAATGAGCCCAATGATTGATTAGTTATCAAATTCTACTAATCACTCAGCTCTACATTTTAACAAAATGCTGAACAAAATTTAACAAGATTGAAGAGGTTCTATGTCATGGACTGCCTGAGTCATACATAAGTGTATAATGACTCTTATAAGATAATGTCTTACAATGCATCAACTTCTGTTATCTTCCTATCCTCTTGATATTTCAGTATTTCATGGCTAATCCAAAACATTTTTTTTTATCTCTCTCTCTCTCTCAGTTTCATTTGTCATATGTAGTGGTGTTATAGTTTTCCTGAAGGCATTTTTTTGTTTTCTACATTTTTTAACTTCTACATCCTACACATGTACTGGGGTAATGGCAAGAAGACCTTGTTGCTATCAGTGTGTCACAATTTGAGAAAATCATAATTTTGCTGAGGTTATCATGTTAAGCTTGTCTTCAGAAAGAACCAATTGCAGTATTTCTTTTTGTCAGGAGACACACATAGGTTTTATATATACTAGTCTAGGTCTGGCAATATGACTGGAGAGTTTCTAACTATTTCAGTGTAAGAAAAAACATAGGTCTGTATTTTTTATTAAATTACCTGTGAGATTGTTTTAGTTTAGTTTATGCTTTTATGTAAATAGAGCCTAGTCTAAGTATATTTGTTTTTAGAAGAAAAAAAAAGGACATCTCCAGTTTTTCATATTGTATATTCCTTGTGTATTAATAATTAAAGATATTTCATAGAAAAAAAAATAATTTCTCAACATCCAGTGGAAAAAATTAAAATTGAGAGTGCTTTATATAGTGGGGCTTGGAGTGTAAAGTTTTGCTTTCAAAAACATGGCTTAATGTATGTATATGTATATGTAGACATAATCAATTATCTGAAAATTTATTTATCTTTATATAGTCTCCTGTAGAAAGTGTATTGGAACCTTTGATGCCACTATATTTTTGAAGCCATGTCATCTCATAATTCAGGGGCTTCTACGCCCCAATTGCCAAATAGCCCTGAAGCGGAGGAGATGAATGCTAAGGCATCAACCAAATCATCAGGAAACGCAAGTCAGGAAAAATGCTTTCTGTAGAAGTTCGATTTTTGGATGAATCAGTGGCAAATTTTCAAATACAGGTAAGATTTTTTTTATGTGGTATTGATATTAATCTTTTTTTTTCTTGTTCTGATTTATTTACTTAATAATGTATAATGTCACTACTAACTTTTTTTAGTTTTTTTAGTTTTTAACTATGCCTAAAACAAGTTTCCAAGTGTAATCTTAAACTTGGATGAACTCTGAACCATTTATTAAGTACTGTTAACAAAGTCTTCCTTGTAGGAACTTTATTCATGTGTGCAGTGATGTCAATTTACTTGTGCATTTATCTCTTATTATTGCTTCTGTTTTATTCTGTCTTCAGCCTATCCTCCCAATCAAACGTTTTATGTATTGTATAAAAGTTTCATGAAAATATTCATATACTAAAAAATTTTTTTTAATATCTCTTCCTATTTAAACCTCTTTTAAAAAAAATTGTAAGCACAGCTTACTTATAATACTGTAGAAAGAATTAATCAGTTTTTCAGGTTAAAAAGATACAAAAAACATAAATGTTAGTTTAAAAAATAATAAATACACTAAGATCAAACTGAGTGAATAATATTGACAACCTCATTAACTAAACTTGTAATTTCTATAAAGGTATATTTTTCTCTGGTATCAAATTATATTTTCTGCAATTTTAGATATTGATGCTAAAATATAACTTGAAAAATTTTGTGTGTATTATGTATTTGTGGTTGATAAAAACTAAATTGATTGGTGAATGAATGAAATGTTGTACATTTCAGTGAAAAAAAGAAAGTAGAATAAACAATCTGGATATTTTTCCAATTTTAAATGTGCCATTTCATAAGTCAAGTGACAAGTACCCATGTCTTTATTCTTATTCATTGTTCATGATAATGTAGTACCAAAAGTATCTGGCTAGTTTATATGACTTAAACTGAGCCATTTAAAAGAATTTATACTAAGTTGTACTCTTTCTCATAATAAATCATCCATTTTATTGGTGTCTGTGAATTGACTTGACACTTGCTTTCTTATATAAACCTACTTTAAATTTCATTCTACAGGATGGGCAAAAAATCTGGACACCTCCCTTATTTAAAGCTCATGTTAACAATTTAGTTTTTCACAATTTAGTGGCTTTATCAAACAAATTGTGGCAAAGGAATGATATATACGAAACAACTGATGCTTTGAAACAAAAAATTATTCAAAGTTTTGCTAAGGTCATTCCTAATATGCTAAGAAGGATGTCAATAATAAATAAATGTTCTCCATGGAATAACACCTACATTCATTTTAATTATGTTCAATAAAAAAAGAAAACATTATGAACCTGATCTGTTCATCAGTGAACATGCTGTTCTAGGAATACCAGCAATTGTTAGCAGCTTCCAGCATTCTAGGTTCTCCAAGATTTACCATCACCAAATGAAACTTAGTAAATAATGCAATATGTTTTACAAATATTTTACTGTGAAACTCCATCAGATATCTTGGAAAATAAGGGTTGGAACTCCTTTTCGATTTACAAATACTTTAAAACTTCTAGCTTTCATATCCAGTTGTATGAAATTTTGATGATCTAGCTATTATATTTACTATCATCAGTTGTCCAGCTATTGAAATCTAGTGAATATAATTTTTTATGTATAAATATATGAATGATGTAGGAAACCTGCATCTCTTTATTAGATAGCTCAAAGAGTAAGGGTTGTAATGCCCTTTAAACTGTTGATATAACTTTGAGAATTGTTTCTCACTCCCAGCTGTATTGACTTGGGGCTAACTTCACCACTGTAGCCATTGGCAGCTGAATACATCATGTAGTCATGGAATACCTCCTCTTCCTCTTTTAACCCTTTCAAGATGGGTCATGGGTGAAAAACCATGTCATCTTGTTTGTTGACTCGCATTCAAAATTTTATTGAACTACTATTTCATGAATTTATGTCAATAAGTATGGTATCAAACTGTAGATTATAATTAAAATTTTAGTACTATATATTACTCAATTTCTTAATTTAAAAGAAAATATTAGAGAAACACAGATAAACATTGATTTTTTTTGTATCACATGGTATGTTGAATGTAGCATTGGTTCAAATTAGATGTTTGTGAAGTCAAAATATTAAGTCAATAGTTTTGAACTAATTAGAAACTCAAATTACTGAGATTGACGAGCTAGAGTATAAAATAAGAGTCTTTTATCTTTCCAATTTGCTGAGATATTGCCCATGTAATAAATCAAATACAGTGGCACCCCACTCACCTCTTTCTATTTTTGGAAACACTCCTTTATATATACACTTACTTCATAATATGACATGAATAACCAATCGAAAGCTCAGAACGGACTTTGCGCCATTACTTTCTTTTGAACCAATATTTCAACGAGGTAGGGTGTGTCTTTAGTCTGCTCAAAATTTCATATTTTTTTTAGACTAAAATACATCTTAGTTACTATGCTTTATAAATTATAGTGGAATTCTATGGTATTAATGTAGTAATTTATGATTTTTTAATAATTCAAATGTATGTATATATATAAAACCTAAAAAAATATTTTGTTT